AAATATAATATATAGGTTGCATTTGACATTTGGGCTTTGTCTATTAACTCCCTGGCCCATTTTCTTTTCAAATAATAAAGGGCCATTTACAGTAGTGGCCAAAAGTGGGCCATTATCATAAAAAAAGGCCTTAACGCCGCTCGACCTGGAATCCATCAACACAAAAGGAATTTCTTCTCTCGATTTCTGCCAAAATTCACAAAAGTTTTTGAAGTACATTGCGAAAAAAATATTATCGGACGAAGATTGAGATCATAAGTCAGAAGCCATAGAAGATCACGCCAGAGAGCACGACCCAACGGAAACCGCCGCCGTATCAGTGCACAAAGTTCTCTCCGGTGGAAAATGTGTGAATGAATTTGTACTTAACAAATTATTTTTGAAGAAATCTCGATATATTTGCATCTTGAGTTCTATATTTTATTGTGAGGTAGTTCAAATTTGGTGTTTGTTATATTTTCTATTGTTGTTTTGTTTGGGATAGCTGATAGCAGCGAACCGATGAACATTTTTTACTTATTTATTATTTTTTTTTAGTTTTGGCGGGCTGGCCCGCCTAACCCGAGGCCCGTGGCGGGGGTGGGCCGGGCTGGTCTTTTATAGGCCCGTCAGTATGGCGGACCGGCCCGCCCCGCCCCGCCAAATGGTGGGTTATGGCGGGCTGCGGGCTGGCCCGCCCCGCCGGCCCGTTTTGACATGTCTAACCATGTATATGGAAGACCCGGGTGAGTCTTAACAAACGGAATCACGGCATGTGGGAGGTAACCGAATGGACCGATAGCCACACTTGCATGCAGGTGTTCGAGAGAAATGACCACAAGAATGTGACCGCCACCATGATTTCAAATCTTTTGTTGGCTAAGATTCAGAAGCAGGTGACCTACAGTGTGGAAATGGTCCAGGCCGACGTAAAAAGTGCCTGGGGCGTCGATGTCAGCTACAAAAAGGCGTGACACGGGAGAAAAAAAGCCATTGATCGTCTGTATGGCACGTGGGAAACGAACTTCGCACAACTCCCTCAGTAAGCAAAAATAAATTATAAACGTATTTACGTGCCTGTTGTTTTTAACTATATTTATTTATTTATTTATTTATGGTTACCTTTTATAATTTGCAGGTTTTTCGCCGCCCTTCAAAGGGCGAATCCCAGTACAGTCGTTGAGTGGGAATGGCAGGGTGGAGAAATGGCGAAGCAATCTCGAGACAGAGAATTCAGATTTGTCTTCTGGGCATTCGGCCCCGCCATTCAAACCTTCGTTCGTTGCCCGCCGATTATTAGCATCGACGGCACGCACCTGCGAGGTTCGTACAAGGAGAAACTACTTGTTAATTGCAAATTAATATTTTATTTTCTAATTTACAATAGTGTCTCATAAGAAAAAAATATATGTCCAACTGGGTAGGTTCGTACAAGGGGAAGCTGCTTGTTGCCATAGCACAGACCGCGAATAAGCGTCTATTGCCAGTCGCGTATGCGATTGTGGACGAAGAAAGCACGGCTAGTTGGTCCTTTTTCCTAACACATCTGCGCCATCATGTCGTCGCCGGCAGATCGATATGTCTTCTTTCCGACAGGGACAACGGCATATTGAGTGCTGTTGAATTACTGGAGACTTGGCACGAACCCCATGCATTTCATCGGATATGCCTTCGACACCTCCGGAGCAACGTGTTTTCAAGGTACCGGACTAAACAAGTCCGGGGTTTGTGTTGGAGGTTGGGTTCACTGTGTTCTCGCCGCAAATTTGAGCAGAGTCGACAGGAACTCCATCAATTTAACCCGGACGCATACGATTACCTTTTCAAAATTCCTCTTGAAAAGTGGACCCTGTACAAAGATGGAGGACGTCGATGGGGAACTCTGACAACGAATATGTCAGAGAGTTACAACAATGTCCTCAAAGGTGTTAGGTTCCTGCCCTGCAGAGCGTTGGTACAGGCCACATTGAACAAGACTCTGGATTTGTTTGAACAAGAACAAAAGAAGTCCAGAGGATGCAGGACTCCCATTCCTACCGACCTCTATGCCGCCTATCGGGAGTTGGAAAAGACGGCGGTGACTCACGAGGTGCATTGTGTGGACGCCGACGGATCCCAGTACATGGTGACAACCGGTCTACGCGCCAATGGAAGAGGGCAAAACAAGTATGTATTTTGTAATTGTATTTTTTTTTCCATTCAAATGAGTTTATTAATTTTCTAATTTATATATATAAATCATTGTTGAAAATAGGTTTAAGGTCTTTTATGAGCAGCAGCGTTGTGCATGTAGGAAGTGGCAGACACATCGAAAACCATGCTCTCATGCAATTCGAGTGTGTCGTCAGCGGGGTGATCAACCGGTGTCGTTGTATAATCCCTACTTTTGGACGGAGAACTGGGTTAATCAATTTTCTAATTGGAATTTTACTCCAGTTGGAAATCCTGACACGTGGCCGCAGGTGGGATGGAATTTGATTCCGCATTGGGAGAGGATCATCTCGAAGCCTGGACCCGGTCGCGCCCAAACTAGACGCTTTAAAATGCAAATGGATCGTCGGGCGCGCCGCAGAAGGGGCCGGGGTCAATGCAGTAGATGTGGTGATCCCTTACATTTCGCTGACCATTGCCCGTATTCGCATCCTCCCATCGATCGAACTAGACTCCGCGATGATTGGGGGAACTAAATTTTTTTAGATGAATATTTTGTATTTGGATGATTTTGTAATTGGATGATTTTGTATTTCGACGATTTTGTATTTGGAT